CTGGAACTTGACTACATAGGGATAGTCTTAGAGACTGGGTCCCTGGGGGTGGGCCCAGCACTGGGGTCTATTGGAACAGGCCTGGAATCTGGGTCTGTTGGAGCAGGCCTGGACCCTGCCTCTTCTGGAGTATGAGTCTACCGGAGCTAGCCTGGAGGGTGGAGCTGCAAAGATTAGCCAAGGACTTGGCCTGAAGCCTGTGTCTATGGGTACCACCCTGGTACTTGAAGCCCGGGGTGCAGACCTAGTACTGGGGCTCTGTGAGCTGACCTAGCTCTGAGGTGGTCTGAAACCTGGGGTGGGTCTGAATCCTGAAGCTACAGGGACTATCCTGGTACTGGGTGGGCCTGGAACCTTTATGCACAGGGGCCAGCCTGGAGGCTGGGTCTACAGGTGCCAGCCTGATGACTAGGACTGTGGGGCTGATCTAGTACTGGGGAAGACTTAAAGCTTGAGGGTGTGGGGGCCAAACTCATGCTGGAGGTGATTTGATGCCCAGGGCCACTGGGGCCAACCTGGTCCTAGAGATGGAGCCTGGGCCCTTAGACTGGGTCTGAAAGGAAGACCTAAAGCCTGAGTCTTTTAGGACTGTCATGGTTCTGGGGTAGGCCCAAAGCCTAGGGCCTATGGGGCCAGTTCTGCACTGGAGCCAGTCTGGAGCCTAGGACCACTTGGGTTGGCCTGGGGCTGTGGCAGTCCCAGAGACTGAGTCCTTGGGGCAGGTCTAAAGCCTGGGTCTGTGGGATGTAACATAGAATCTGGGGCCATGGGGGCCTGCCCGGTGCTGGGTTTTATTGGGGATAACTCAGTGTTGAGTTCTGAAGCAAAGTCTGGTGCTCACTTTCCTTTCCATAAGTGGAGGGTATTTCTCTTTGTACTGTGTGGCCTAGGTTGTGGGAGAGGGGTAATAAAAAACTGTGTTTCCTATACTCTTCAAAGCATCTTTTCTTATTTCCGTGCTACACCCAGGTGCTGGAATGTCTCACCTAGTTTCCTTAGCTCTTGTGAAGGTATTTTCACATGTAGATAGTTGTTCAAATTAATGTTTTTTCAGGGGATGAGTGCTGGAAAGTCCTATTCCACCATCTTGATGATGTTTGGTGGACACAAATTCTTTATCAGGTATATGTTTTTTTTTTTAATCAGGTATATGTTTTGTAAATTTTTTCTTTTTATTTTCTTAACACCATCTTTCATGAGCAGAAGTCTCAAATTTTGACAAAGTCTAATTTACCTTTTCTTTTATGGATTGTGCTTTTGATGTTGTACTTAAGAAATCTTTGCCTAATGCAAGGTCACAAAAAATCTCATTTTTTAAAAGAATTTTATAGATTTAGGCTTTACATTTAAGTCTATGATCCATTTTGAGTTAATTTTTGCATTTGATTTAAGGTATGGATTGAAGTTAATTTTTTTTGCACATGGCTATCCAATTGTTTCAGCATCATTTGACAAACTATTCTTTATCAATTGAATTGCCTTTGTACTTTCATCAAAAATTAGTCGTCATTTTTCTGTGGGTCTCTTTCAGGACTCTTTATTCTGTTCCATTCATCTATTCATCTGTCTTCACACCCTTCCCACACTGTCTTGATTAGTGGAGCTATATAATAAATTTGAGGTCGTGTAGTGTTAGTCCTCCAATTTTGTTCTCTTTCAAATTATTTTGGCTGTTCCAAGTCCTTTGTATTAATTTATCCATATGAATTTTAGAATCAATTTTTAAATTTTTACACAAATGAATTGTGATAGGCGTTACATTGAATCTATGGATCAGCCTGAAGAGAACTGACATCTTAATATTATTGAGTCTTCCAGACCATGAACAAGTTATATACTTCCATTTATTTAGGTCTTCTTTAATTTCTGCCTGACATTTTCCACTTTTCATTGCACCTGTCTTGTGCATCTTTTGTCAGATTTATCCCTAAGTATATTGTATTTTATGCTATTTTAAATGGCATTTTTAACAACTTCAGTTTCTGATTGCTTGTTGCTAGCATATAAGAATACAAATGATTTTTGTATTGATCTTATATTCTACAACTTTGGTAAACTCACTTATTAGTTCCAGTAGCTTTCTTGTAGATTCCATCATATTTTCTAAATAGATAATCATGTTGTCTGCAAATAAAGATAATTTCACTTCTTCCTTTTAATTCTGGGTACAATTTATTTTTTTCTTGCTTTGTTGCTCTTGTTAGATTCTCCAGTAAAATGTTAAGTAAAATTAGTGAGAGTGGACATCCTCATTTTTTCCTGATAGTAGGGAAATGCATTCAGTCTTCCACCATTAAGTATGATGTTAGCTTTGGGTTTTTCATACATTCCTTTTACCAGGTTGAGGAGGTTCTTTTCTATTTCTTGTTTCCTGGGGAGTTTTTTTTTTTTAAATCAGTAATGGATGTTGAATTTGGTCATATGGTTTTTCTGCATCTGTTGAAATGACCAATTTTTTTAAAAAAGTATGTTAATGTGTTCATTGATTGATTTTAAACCAATGCTGCATTTCTGGGATAAGCCCCACTTGGTCATGATGTAGTCTATTTTTTATATAACTTGATTTTCTAACAGTTTAGAATAAATGTGCCTATGTTCCTCAGTGATATTAGTTTGTAGTTTTATTTTCCTGTAATGTTTTTGGTTTTGCTATCAAGAGTAATACTGACTTCATAGAATGAATTGAGAAGTATACTGTCCTTTTCAATTTTCTGGAAGAGTTTATGTTGAATTGGTATTATTTCTTCTTTAAATGTTTTGTAGAGTTCACTAGTGAAGCCATCTGGGACAGGAGTTTTCTTCATGGGAAGGTCTTTAATTATTAATTAAATTTCTTTATAGATATAGGACTATTCAGGTTATGTATTATTTCTTGATTTAGCTTTGGCAGTTTGTGTCTTTCAAAAATTTGTATGTTTCATCTAAGTTGTTAAAATTATTGGCTCATAATGTCCCTATATTATCCCTTTAACATCTGTAAAACTTATAGTGGTGTCACCTTTCTTATTCCTGATATTCGTAATTTGTTTCTTCTCTCTTTTTTTCCTGGCCAGTATAGCTAGAAGTCAATTGATTTTATTGAACTTTTCAAAAAAATCAGCTTTTGGTTTTATTAATTTCTCTCTATTTTTTTCTGATTTCTATTTCATTTATTTACACTCTAATCTTTATCATATCCATTCTTCTGCTTTCTTTGAGTTTCATTTGCTCTTTTTTTACAATTTCCAAAGGTGAAAGCTGAGGTCATTGATTTAAGACCTTTATTCTGGTCTAATATAGTTAATGCTATAAATTACCTTCTAATTACTGCTTTAGTGACAACCCATAAATTTTGATACATTGTACTTCATTTTAATTCAGTTCAAAATACTTTCCAATTTGACTTTTGATTCCTTTTTAAACCCATGGATTACTTAGAGTTTGTTATTTATTTCCAAATACTTGCAGATTTTCCAGAGAACATTCTTTTATTGATTTTTAATTTCATTTCGTTGCAGTCAAAGATCATACTTTGTATGACTTGAATCCTTTTAAATATATTGAGACTTGCTCTATGGCCCAGAATATTGTCTTTCTTGGCAAATATTTCATGTGCACTTGAGAAGAATATATATTTTGCTGGTGTTGGGTTGAGTGTTTTATAAATGTCAGTTAAGTCAAGTTTATCAGTAGTATTAAGTGTGCTATGTCCTTGCTGATTTTCTGTCTGCTTGTTCTATCAGTTATTGAGAGTGGGTATTGAAATCTTAGACTATAGTTGTGGATTTGTTAATTTCTCTGTACAGTTCTACCAGTTTTTGCTTCTTATATTTTGAAATTTTGTTACTGGGTGCATAAACATTTAAGATTATGTCCTCATGATGAATTGATTCTTTTATCATCTTGAAGTATCCTTCTATCACTAGTAATATACTTTTCCCTGAAATTCACTTTGTATAATATTAATATAGCCACTTCAACTTTCTTTTGATTACCTTTACCATAGTATATATTATCCCATCCTCTTCTTTTAACCAATTTTATCTTTATATTTAAAGTCTATTACTTTTTTTTTGAGACAGAGTCTTGCTCTGTCTCCTGTGCTAGAGTGCCGTGGCATCAGCCTAGCTCACAGAGACCTCAAACTCCTGGGCTCAAGCCTCCCTGGGACTATAGGCGCGTACCACCATGCCCAGCTAATTTTTTCTATTTTTAGTAGAGACAGAGTCTCAAGTTGGTTTTGAACTCCTTACCTCAAGCAATCCTCCTCCCTCGGCCTCCCAGAGTGCTAGGATTACAGGCGTGAGCCACTACGCCAGCCAAAGTGTACTTCTTATGGGTTGTGTTTTGTTTTGTTTTGTTTTTTCCAATTTGATTATCTCTGCCTTATATTTGAGTCATTTGTATTTAAAATGATAATTAATATGGTTAGATTTAAATTTAGCATTTTGTTATTTGTCTTCTATTTGTTGCATCTGTTCTTTATTGCTTTTTTTATGATTACATTTATCTCCTTTTTTGGCTTACTAGCTAGAACTGTTTCTTATTTATTTGTTACTTAAAGTCTATAGTACCCATATTTAACTTGTTATAGTCTACCTTTAAGCCATAATGGAATATAAAACAGCCATTCAATTATTAACTTCATTCTATATTATACAATTTTATGGATGTATCAAGATGTATTTAGCCCATCCATTATTGGTGGAATTTAGGTTAATTCTATATTTTACTCTTATAAATCATGCTGGATCAATGTCCTTGTATGTATTCGTTTACTTTTGCAAATATATCCATAGGATAGATTCACAGAAGTGCAATTGTTCATTTGGGCATTTTTCTGGTATTCAAATCCTCCCGGACAGTTTAGCAACTAATATTACTTTATGAATATTAAGTAATATTTTAAAGATATTAATGCTCTTCAATAAGTTTCAAATTCATTGCAGTATAGTTAACAATAAATAGGTATTATCTTTGATTAAAGTATTTCATTTTTTAATTGTTTCCTTGTTTTTCAGCTTTGCAGGCAATCACTACTTTAAAGAATTTATTAACAGATAAAGAGCCAGAAGATAATGACCTACTTAGAAATAGAAGTTCACCTACCATGCTTCTAAGTTTAGCTGCCCAGTTTGCTCTGGAGGTAATTCATATGTATTCATCTACTAGATTTTTACCTCTTTTCCTTTTTGAAAGACAATTAATAGAATCATCATCAGTGAGGCACAGAAGAGACCTTCCTTTACTGTTTGTTTTGCTTCTTATTTTCTCACCAAGCTTGGTTGCAGAATTGCTTTATTTCTCTTTATTATTTTATAATGCAGACTAAAGTAAATGAAACAGTGAGGTATCAGAGTTGTACTCAAAACAACAGAAAAATAAACATAGCAAAACATTAGTTTTCAAAAGAAACTCCAGGCCAGATGTGGCTCACACCTGTAATCCTAGCACTTTGGGAGGCCAATGCAGGAGGATTGCTTGAGGTCAGGAGTTCGAGACCAGCCTGAGCAAGAATGAGACCATGTCTCTACAAAAATAGAAAAAGTAGCTGGGCCTGGTAACATGTGCCTATAGTCCCAGCTTCTCAGGAGGCTGAGTACAGGAGGATTGCTTGAGTCCAGGAGTTTGAAGTTGCAGCGAACTGTCATGATACCACTGTGCTCTAGCCGGAGTGACAGAGCAAGACCCTGTCTCAAAAAAAAAAAAAAAAAGAAGAAGAAAAAAGGAAAAAAAACCCCTCCAGATTTAAAATGTGATACCATGCAAATAAATAGGCATCTATTAAATATTTGAAAACTTATCTTTGTCATCAATTTGAACAAAATGGTTTAAATTTCTGTGGACCTTTTTAGTTCATAACCACAAAACAATGTTAGTTTAGAAGTAATAAATACTTGCACCCCTGTGTGTTACTTACAAAATTCTGGTCTTATGAATATATAGGATTAGGGAAAGCACAGCAGCAGCTCTGAAGCTCTTGGAATGGGTTTGAGTACTGGCTCTGTCACCTAATAAGTGCTTAACTTCTTCAAATCATTTTTTTTAATTTTTTTTTTTTTTGAGACAGAGTCTCGTTCTATTGCTGGTGCTAGAGTGCCGTGGCGTCATCATAGCTCACAGCAACCTCCAACTCCTGGGCTCAAGCGATCCTCCTGCCTCAGCCTCCCAAGTAGCTGGGACTACGGGTGCACGCCACCACGCCCAGCTAATTTTTCCTATTTTTAGTAGAGATGTGGTCTCACTCTTGCTCAGGCTGATCTCAAACTCCTGATCTAAAGCAATCCTCTCACCTTGGCCTCCCAGAGTCCTAGGATTATAGGTGTGAGCCACCACGCCTGGCCTTCTTCAAATCTTAATTTCATTATTTACAAAAATAGAGATAATACCTACCTCTGGGATTGTTATGAAAATTAACTAAGAAGATGGCTGAGAATGTGATTTGTAAACTTAAACTACTTTAGTTTCTGATTCTTTCTCCTGTATAGAAACCATCTTCCTGATTGGAACTACAATTCCATAATTCTTCCACTGGTTCTCTCCGACTTTCTATAACAAATGTAAATTTATAAACCTTCCTTTAAAAAAATAATTAATTGCCTTTGAGTTCCCCACACATATTTCTCTCTTTCCTCTTCCTCCCCATCCTGCACAAATACATCCTGTATCTGCATCTGCCAAATATTTTTCTTCCTTTAGGAGTTTTATTACCCTACTCATCAATACCAAAATACATATTATTCAAACTGTATTTAGCAACTACTTTGGGCAAGATATTAGGCTAGGTGCTAGAAATATGGTCCTCAAGGATCTCATAAGTCGATTTGAACAGACAAGCCATGCCTTAGCAATGTAAGGCGGTATATATGATAATGACCAAATAACTAATATACATGTTAAAATTACTGAAATTTAGAGTAGGAAGAGAGCACTGACAACTGGAATTGATTTGGGAAGTCTCTACAGTGGAGGGAAACTTCAAGTTGGCCTTTGAAAAGGGCAGCAAAAATGTTCTATATAAGAACATTTTTAAAGGATGGGGTGGTATAAACAAGACATGGAAAAAGAAATGTGATTACCTTGAGAAACACTGTATTTGGTTAGAGTGATGGAGGGCTTATGTCTCCACCATTCCAGTTCTGTGCCTAATGTAATAGGGACTTATATTGTTATGATGATGATGGTAGGAGAGGAGTATAAGATAAAGTAGTAGAGATAGCTGTGACCAGATTGTATATATGTTTTATTCTCTAAACAATAAGAAAATGTTGATGGTAACTTATATAAAAGTAATGCTTCAGGAAAATAATTTGGGTTGTGCCTGGGGAGCGAAATGGGGAGAAAATAGAGGCAGGACAGGATGGGAGACTATGGTAATAATGCAGTCTGAAGGTGATAAGAGTGTAGATAAGGGTAGTGAGGGTGGGATATTAAGCAGGTAAAACATTGCTTTCTCTTCTCTGAAAATAAGCTACCTATCTTTAAATCCCTTTACAAAATTCATTCCCCACGTACACAAGAGACTATGTGGTTATTCTAGGTTCTGAAAACTGAAGCAGTCAGGAAGAGAACTTCCACAGATTCCCTCTACCATCTCTACTCGCACACCAGGAATCACACCACATAGTCTGCCTTCTCAACTATTGTCATAGTTTCCATCACCTGTTGTCTTTTCCTCTCTCATGTTGTCAGTATTTTGTTCTCTTACTGGTCATTCCCATCAGCATATAAACATTCTCATTTATCCCATTTCAAGCAAACAAAAACCAAAAAAACCTCTTGACCCTCCTTCTCTTACCAACTACTGCCCAACTTTTTTTCTTCCCTTTGTAGCTAAATTCCTCTAAACAGTTATCTATACTCACTGTCTCCAATTCTTTTCCTCCAATTCTCTCCTGAGCTTACTCCAATCAGACTTTCGCCCCTCCACTCTACCAAAATTCCTTTTGTAAGGGTCACCAATGACCTCTGTATTGTAAATTGCAGTGGTTAATTCTCAGTCCTCATTGTATTTGACCTGTCAGCAACATTCAACAGTTGATTACTCTTTCTTCCTTGAAACGCATTTGGCTTCCAGGACACCACATTATCCTTGTTTTCCTCCTACCTCATGAGGCACTGTCTTTCATTCTCCTTTGCTAATTCCTCTTCCTTTTTTCTCTCCCATTCTCACTCTCAAGTGATGAGCTTGAGAGAGGAGCTATTGGGGGATTGAGAAGACAGGATAAGATATAAACTAATTATCCAGAAAAGCAGGAAAGTGAATGACTAGGAAAGTCTGATTTGCTTGCCAGTAGCATTCAGACCCATTTGATGAAGTTTTAAAATAAAACAAGTAGTTATATGGATTTTTTTTTCTGGCCACATTCAGTTGAATGGATGTAGGCATAAAGTCATTAGAAAATTGAACTTAATCAGACTTGTGGTTTTATCAGATGAATAAACTGAAGCAAAAGAGAGGCAAGAAAATCAAGGAACAAGAGAGTGATTATACTTAGTTCCCATGGAATTTAAACTGGATTTGGAGGAAGACATTGAGAGGATGAGGAACAGTGAAGAATTGGTACCATCAGTGGGTTAGTGGTCTTATTGCAGTTGAATTATTGTTGGAGTCAGGTAATAGATGGAATGAGTTCAAAAGGTAAGAGGCAGTGGACAGAAAGTGGAGTACATGAACTGAGAGCTGGGGTGGGGGACTAGGGTGAGGGAGTGAGGTACCTAGGGCACAAAACTCAAGGAGGAACCCATTCTCAAGGTCATGTAAGTGCTGGCTTGCTACTTGTATGACACTGAGAGTGAGTGCCTCCTTAAATTTTTCACCCTAGGTGCTTCACTAACTCACCTGGCTCACCTTCTTCTCAGCCCTGACTGAGAGTATGGCAGGGTTGCAATTATTAGTAATGACAGGGTCTAGTGAGTGACTATGAGTGTGAATGGCTAAGGTAATTGGCAGAGTGGAATTCAAGAAACTAAGAATCTGGGATATTGGGTGGATCATCTACCTATATATTGAAAGTGCCAAAAATTAAGACAGGAGTAGTTTTTGAGAAAATAACTGAGCAGTAGACAAGTCATCAAGAAATGAGAAGAAATAGCCTGGGAGTTGATAGACAATAGTAGCAGTGAAGGATAGTGGGTGATAGTCTGGTGCCAGGAAATTTAATGTTAGGGATTTTAGGAAATAGAACAGGAGAATAATTTTAAATGACAATCAAGAGCAAGAAGGATTCCTACTGCATCTCCAGGCCTAGGAGTAGACTAGGGCAGTGAAAGCAAAAATGGCCACCACTTACGAGGGCTTCAGTAGAAGCAGTATCTTGGCAGAAACTAGATTTTCATTAGACCAAGAATGTGGAGGGAATTTTCAGGGAAGAAGTTGCTCATAGAGGAGATTTTGCTGAGAGTGGACTGAATTTCAGAGAGCATAGTGGAAGGGTTGGAGGACTTGAGGAGAGGTGGGAAAAGAGGACGGAAGAGGGGATATACAGAGCCTTTTGGGAATTAAAGTGCTGGAAATGAGGGTGACCTGACAGTCTGGGATTCTTTTGGTTATTGCTAATAAATGGGGACAGAAAGCATAATAACATTGGCCCTAGTGGATTCAGGGCAGTGTTGGCAAGGCTGTGAGTATTCATCGATAGGGAGGAGCGGGTTTCTGGGGATAATATGAACATGTTTTGTTTTTGTCAATGAGTTGTATCTTCATTCTACCATCTTGCAGTAGCTCTTTTGAGAATACAAAATCAACATAGTCAGATTTTTGTCTTATCCTTAATGGACAGGAATATAGATAACATTTTGTAAGTATCAATTGAGATGTAATTTAAAATACTATATTTGTTCGTTTTAGAATGGACAACAAATTGTGGCAGGAAAAGCTTTGGAATATTTAGCTCAGCATTCAGAAGACCCACAACAAGTCCTTACAGCTTTAAAGTAAGTAATCCACATCCTGTGGAAATGAAAGGATTTCCTGTGCTCATTTTACTCTTGGTCTATGCTTTGCTGAAATAATGCCGACAAGATCAATGCCTACTGTAACAACTGTTAACCCAGATACTCAAAGTAAAAAAAAAAAGATAGTAGTTGAGCCTGATATTCCTTCTTCTCTCTTTCTGGGAAGGAAAATGGTTTGTCAAAAGAGAACTTCTACATACAATAGTGAGGCAGAGGAGGGGGAGGTTGGGACTTGATAACTGCTAATGGTGTGACTGAGAAAATGCCACTGTGAAAAATGGGAAACCAGAGAGTTTTAGACTGGTTCTCCTATTGGTCAATTATACTTGAGGCCACACTTCCAAACAGAATTGAAGTCACAGAGATAAAAGAGTCAGAAGGAGTCTTGAGGTACTTGCATGCCTTCACTTAGGTAAATATTTAAAATCATTCAGAACAGATGGTATTCTTTAAAGATTTTTAGGGTTTGAAACTTTACCAGCTATCTTATTTTGTCCATTTGTCATTGTGCTGCCAGAGCCCTTCAAAGAATTGTGATGCTAGTTTATGTGATACCCAAAGGCCAGTTCCAGGTTCCTTTATAGAAAGAAAAACATAAAGACTGGTACATCATACCTGACATTCTAGCGGGTGATTTTGGGCAATGATATGAACCGTGGAACCATTTAACAATTTGTTATAAGCAACACTTTCGTTTTAAAATTCTTAAAATTAATCTCCCCCTTACCCTCTCTTTTCTCACTCTGCCACCTAGAATAATCAAGATTGTTAACAACTTGGTATATGTTCTTTTCACATGTTTGCTTCTAAGAATCACTTTCTATATTACTTTATCATACAGGTATTTGTTTCGTCTTGTTCTTCCAAAAGTTTTTCAAATGCTGGAATCTGAAAATAAGTAAGTTATTTCAACAGAAATGATGTATTCACCATTAGAAAAATTAGCCAGGCACATGTCTATAATCCCAGCTACTTGGGAGGCTGAGGTGGGAGGATTGCTTGAGCCCAGGAGTTCAAGACCAGCCTGGGCAACATAGCAAGACCCCATCTCAAAAAAAGAAAAATTATGGTAACTTTCAATATAAACCTTATATTGAGAGATGTTTAGTAGATAAGATCAATGTAGGCTTTGGGACGAGTCTTTCTGGGTTCATATCCTGGCTGTGCTACTTATTGATGTGTAACCTTGGGCAAGTTTATTAACTTCTATGAGCTTCTGTTTCCCAATCTGTAAAATGAAAATGATAATAGTACACACCTCATTGGGTTGCTGTAACAACTTGATGAGTTAAAACATGTAAAAGGCAAAAGATTTATGTGATCTTCAGAGAAACTGGAGTATAAGTTAATACATGTAAAACATTTAGAGTGCCAGCCACTTAATAAGCCCTCAAGAACATTGTCTATGATCTAATTATGATGTTGCATCTGTTTCCTCCTTTCTTAACAGATGGCTCAAATATAAACATATCTGTTACTTTCCCAGAGAACATATAACCTGGATGGCTTATTGATTCTGATTCTATATCAGGTCAGCTGGAAGGAGTATTCAAATATGTTTCTGCTCACAGGTTCTATGGCATAAGATATCAAGAACTTAACAATTTGTGGAAGAATTTGGTTACCAATTTTTCATTCATAAAACTTACTACCTCCTAATGATTTGAAAGAAAACTCTATTCAAGGTGTTGATTAAGGATAACTTTCAGAGAAATATCACCCATTTCTGCATTCTTTGCTTGGATAAGAATGCTGTAATAGTGTATCTCTACTTCAGTTTTGGTTTATATATTTGCAACTGGAGGTAATATATTTTTTCAACTAAATTCTTTGGGAAATATCTGTGACTGAGATAATGTTGACAGATGACTTCTAATTTTCTTTTTCATAATGCAAATTTTACCCAAGCACAAATAAGTTTTGCCTTTTCTTTATAAGCTCTATGAATCCATTAGAAGGGAACTCAAAGAAACTTAAAAAAACGATAAGGCAATTTGAATTGAATAATGGCCAAATATTTGATGATATTAAGAAATTATTAATTTTAAGGCATGATAATGGTAGTGTGGTTGTTTGTTTTAAAAGATTCCTCATCTCTTAGAGACACATCCTGAAATATGTATGGACAAAATGATACAATGTCTGGGATTTGCTTTAAAATAATATGGGAGAGGACGAAGTAGGTGGAGGACAGGTATCAATGAGATAAGATTGATGATGAGTTAATAATTATTGAAGCTCGGTGATTGGCACATGGGGATTCATTATATTCATCTGTTAACATTAGAACATCTTAGAAATTTTCAACAATAAAAAGTTAAAAAAAAAAGGAAACTCAGAAACTAAACCTTGATAGCTACCGGATTGTAAGAGTGCCTTGAGGGCTAGGACTATTGATATTTTTCTGTATATCTCTGGAACCCAGGGTAATATCTGATACATAATTGCCACTATATTTATTTAAATGGCCGAGATATTAGCTTTTTATAAGATCTTCAGCACTGAACTTAAAGGCGCTTCATATTCTGTGTAATTGTGGCATACAGTCAAACCCCACTCATTAAAACCAATCGAGGAATGGGGTAAGGGAAGGGATCCTGTTTGAATTAATGATAAATTATAGAACATTTACAAAATATACCTTTATTGTTTTCAAGTAAATGTAATAATAGAGAACATCTTCTAGCAGCGTTTTCAGGTAGAGGTCAGGACCTGATTTAACAAATAGAATAGATTAATTTGTAAGAATGTTTTAAAGTGCCTACTTTAATGAGAAGAGTTAAAATAATTGAACTCTAGTTTTGGCTGTTTCACTAACTTCTGGTTTACCTTGGGCAATGGCAACTTATTTAACTCCTCTAAGCTTTATTTTCCTCATCTATAAAATTTTAAAAGCTGGATTCTATAATTTTTAAAGTTCCTTTCTGTTCTAAAATTCCAATCATTATAAATTAGCAGTATCTACCTAAGAACTAACAACTCATGTGCTAAATTTTTTAAAAGTAGGTTAGCTCTTAAATAGATTATCCATCCCTTTCCATGTCCTCATTCTTATTTGTACTATTTATTTACATTAATGGGCCCTTCCTAGATTATTTTATATAGAGTCACTGAACTAAACAGTGAAGAAATCAACTTTAGCTCAGCTGAAATTCAAATTAATAAAATTTACTATAAGAAGTTACTTTATATAAACCATACTTCTAACATTTATCCCTGAGAAAGCTGCTACTTTTCCTGAACCACAGTCTTTATTATATAATACTAGATCCTTCCTGATAAGGCCAGTCTTACGGTAGGCTCTATCCTACTTCCTGTAAACTTCCTTAGTTGAGTTTGCCAATACTTTCTCATATTCATTCATTCGTTAAAGCAAAATGGGCTCTTTTCTCTGTAAAATTTTTATTTCATTTTATTTTCTAATTGTAAGACTTTATTTTTTTAGAAAAATTTTAGGTTCACAGAAAAATTGAGAGAAAGGTTGAGATTCCCACATACGCTCTTCCCCAACACATGCATAGCCTCCCCCATTATCATCATCTCCCACCAGAGAGGTTCAATTATTACAATTGATGAACCAAAATTGACACATTATAATCACCTAAAGGCCATAGTTTACAGTAGGGTTCACTCTTGACGTTGTACATTCTATGAGTTTGGACATGTTTCCATCATTACAGCATCATACAAAGTATTTTCACTGCCCTAAAAATCCTCTGCGCTCCACCTATTCATCCCTCGTCCATCAACCCTTTACTGTCTCCATAGTTTTGCCCTTTCCAGAATGTCATATAGTTGGAATCATATAGTAAACAGCCTTTTCACATTGGATTCTTTCGCTTAGTAATATGCCTTTAAGGTTCCTCCATGTAATTTTGTGGCTTGATAGCACTGAATAATGTTCCATTGCATGATATAACTCAGGAACAGCCAGATGGAAGAAATACAAAGGGCAGGGTACGGGGTCGGGGGAAGTGTTGCAGGGTTTCTATGCCCTTTCCAGGCATACCACCATCCTAGCACCTCAGTGTGTTCACCAACCCAGAAGATTTTTTTGGCCCATTTTTAAAAATCAGTTTGTTTTTGTTGAGTTTTAGAGTTCTTTGTATATTTTAGATAACAGTCCTTTATCAGATGTGTCTTTTACAAATATTTTCTTCCAATCTGTGGCTTATCTTTCTCATTCTCTTGACATTGTCTTTTGCAGAACAGAAGTTTTTAATTTTAATGAAGTCCGGCTTATCAATTCTTTCTTTCTTTCATGTGCCGTGTGTTTGGTGTTGTGTCTCTTAATAAAAAGTAATTGCCATACCCAAGGTCATCTAGGTTTTCTCCTGTGTTATCTTCTAGGGGTTTTATATTTTTCTGTTTTAGATTTAGGTCTATAATGCATTTTGAGTTAATTTTGTGAAGGGAGTAAGGTCTGTGTCTAGATTCATTTTTTTGCATATAGATGTCAAGTTGTTACAGCACTATATTTTGAAAAGACTGTCTTTGCTCTTTTGTCAAAGATAAGTTGATTGTATTTATGTGGTTCTATTTCTGAGCCCTCTATTCTGTTTCATTGATATATTTCTTTATTCTTTCACCAATACCACACTGTCCTGATTACTATAGCTTTAGATTAAGTCTTGAAGTCAAGTAGTGTCAATTCTTCAATTTGTTCTCCTTCAATATTATGTTGGCTATTCTGGGTCTTTTGCCTCTACATATAAACTTTAGAATCGGTTTGTCAATATCCATGAAATAACTTACTAGAATTTTGATTGGTATTGTACTGAATCTATAGATCAAGCTAGGAAGAACTGACATCTTGACAATATTGAGTCACTCTATCCATTAACATGGGATACCCCTCTCTTTATTTAGTTCTTCTTTGATTGCTTTCATTGGAGTTTTATAGTTTTCCTCCTGTATATCCTGTACATATTTTGTTAGATTTATACCTAAGTGTTTCATTGTGGGGGGGTGCTAAGGTAAGTAGTATTGTGTTTTTAATTTCAAATTCCACTTGTTCATTGTTGGTATATAGTAAAGCAATTGACTTTTGTATAATAACTTTGTATCCTGCAACCTTGTTATAGTCACTTATTAGTTGCAGAAGATTTTTTCAGTTCTTTTGGATTTTCTATATAAATGAATACATCATCTGTGAATAAAAACAGTTTTATTTCTTCTTCCCAATTAGCATACCTCTTCTTTCCTTTTCTTGTCTTATCGATTTAGCTAGGTGTCTTAGTCCATTCAGGTTGCTATAAAAATACCATAGATTTGGTGGCTTATAAGCAACATAAATTTATTTCTCATGGTTCTGAAGACTGGGAAGTCCAAGATCAATGTGCCAGAAGATTTGGTACCTGGTGAAGGCCTGTTTCCTCATAAGTGGGTATCTTCTTATTGTAACCTCATGTGGCAAAGGGGGTAGGGTTCTCCCTGAGAACTCTTTTATAAGAGCACTAATCCTATTCATGGGGCCTCCACTCTCATGACCTAATCATCTCGCAAAGGCCCCGTCTCCTAATACCATCACCTTGGGAGTTAGGATTTCAACATATGAATTTGGGAGCCACACAAACATTCAGACCATAGCGCTACGACTTTCAGTACAATATTGAAAAGGAGTGTTGAGAGGGGACATCTTTGCCTTGTTTTTGATCTTAGTGAGAAAGCTTTTAGTTTCTCACCATTAAATGTGATGTTATTTTATTTTATTTTATTTTATTTTTGAGACAGAGTCTCGCTCTTGCTCAGGCTGGTCTTGAACTCCTGACCTCAAGCAATCCTCCTGCCTCAGCCTCCCAGAGTGCTAGGATTACAGGAGTGAACCACCACGCCTGGCCTAAATGTGATGTTAGGTGTAAGTTTTTTTGAGATATTCTTTATCAAATTGAAGAAGTACTCCTCTATTCCTAATTTACTTAGAGTTTTTATCACGGGTCTTGGATTTTGTCAAATGCTTGTTCTGCATCTATTAATGGACCACGTGATTTTTCTTGTTTAGCTTGCTGATGTGATGGATTACATTAATTGATTTTCAAATGTTGAAACACCCTTGTATACCTGGAATAAATCCCACTTGGTTGTGATATATAATTCTTTTTATACATTGTTGGATTCAATTTGCTAATATTGTGCTGAGGATTTTTGCACCTATATCCGTGAGACATATTGATCTGTAGTTTTCTTTTCTTGTAATATCTGTCTGGTTTTGGTATTAGGGTAATGCTGGCCTCATAGAATGAGTTAGGAAGTATTCCCTCTGCTTCTATTTTCTGGAAAAGATTGTAGGGAATTGGTATAATTTCTTGGAATATACTATTGCTATCATTTTGAATAAATTGTTATCTGTTAGAGCAAGTAAGCATAAGAAAAATAAAAGTTTTAGTTTATCTTCACTTATTCTTTCTTTGATGCTCTTCCTGTCTTTATGTAGATCTGAGTTTCTAACCTGTATTATTTTCCTTCTCTCTAGAGAACTTCTTTTAACGTTTTTTGTAAGGCAGGTCTATTGGCAACAAATTTCCTCAATTTTTGTTTGTCTGAGAAAGCCTTTAATTTTCCTCATTTTTGAAGGATAATTTCACAGGATACGGAACTTTAGGTTGGTGGGTTTCTCTTTCAACATTTAAATAATTCACCCCACTCTCTTCTTGCTCATGTGGTTTCAGAGCAGAAGTGGAATGTAATTCTTATCTTTGTTCTTCTATAGGTCAGATGTTTTCTTCCTCTGGGTTTTTTCATAATTTGTTTTGTATATTTTATTTTCTGTAGTTCGAAAATGATATACCTAGGTATAATTTTATGGCTTTTATCCTGGTTGGTGTTCTCTGAGCTTCCTGGATCTGTGGTTTGGTATATGACATAACCCCTCCCCAACCACCCCATCATTTAGGCTCTGATAATACCCTAGAAGGTCAGGCTCTAGTTAAGTAGTTTCTATTAGGGCAGGCCTTGTTAAGAATAGAGTGCCCTGGCATATTTCAAAATGGTTTCTTTTCTCTCCCTCTGTTGGAAGCATGAAGGAATTTTTCTCCAATATTCACAGTGAAAACCTAGCTGAGTTCCTGGAGGTAAAACTCACAAAATTGTGGAGGCCCCTCTATGACTGGGAACCCCTGGAGTTTTCAACTCTGAGACTTGTTTACACTGAAACTCCAGCAATTTGTCATTTCTGTTTCAGGTTTTCCCCCTCTGACACTGGTTCCCATGGTGGTTTCCACTCTTGAGTCTCTGTTGCAGTAAGCCATAACTCCTTGTATTTGTCTGTCTCTCCACTCTTTCTGGCAGTGGTGGTTTGCCCTGTTTCCTCACCTCTCTTATGGTTCCATGAAGAGTTGTTGATTTTTCAATCTGTTCAGCTTTTTACTTGTTGTTAGGAGAGAGTGGAAACTTCCAAGTTCCTTACGTGCAGAACTAGAAACCAGAAGTCCTCTGTTAAAATGTGTATACTTCTTAAAGAAGCTTGACAGAGAGTCAAGAGACCTGGATAGTAATCTTGACATTGTCACTTACTGTATTACCTTGGACGAATCATTCCCCAACCCCACGTATGTTTCCTCATCTGTAAAATGAGGGGTCTGTACTAGTTAAGTGATTTTTAAAACTGCATTCCTCAGAACCCTGGAAAGTTTGTGCTACTGCCTCAGGGACTTCCAAGAAGGTGAAACTTCAGGCCTCCACCCCACCCCTGGTTCAACTAGAGCAGTTCCACTTTTATCTTTTCTTACATATTAGACTGTTATACAGTTTTATTTGAAACAAGGATTCTAATTGTCCCTCTTCAAAAGAAAGCTTATAAATCACAGAAATCACTACCTGATCTCAAATTCTATGACCCTGTAATGTAAAACCTTGCCAGTCATTGAAATCAAAATCCTTTGGTGAGAGTAGGTATAGAAGTAGAAGAGAGAAAAAAACATGAGGGCACTGGAGATGAGTAACTGTGTCCTATAATAGAGGAGGGCAAGAGTGTTGAAATGATAGATTGAAGTCCTGAACAACACAGTTTACAATTTTGCATATTCCTAGTTGAGTTCTCAGGCACAAATATGGTATCTTTTTATTATAGTTCTTTTCCACAGTAAATCTTGGAACAGTTGGAAAACACCGTTTTCTATTCATTTTTTTTCCAGAAAGAAAGAAATGGATAGACTTTTGACTTGCTTGAATATAGGTAAATATCTCCTTGGTTATTTTCAGTCTTTCATCTTGCCTCTATCCTCTATTGAATTCTCTAAGTACACTTAGCACATTGACTCCAACCTTATGTTTGAGTTAAGCTTCATGCTTCTTATTAATGTTTGCCATGGGAGTTTATTTTGGTTTCTTCATCCACAAGCAGAGAAAAGTTTGTCATCACTAGCATTCATCTCTAAATGTGATTTCAGCTCTATTTTTATTCCAGTTTATTTTAAGGACATTTCCCTTCCTCCCTTCCTCCCTCCCTTCCTTCCTTACTTTATTCCTTCTATCCATCCATCCTTTTTTTCTAATTGCCACTTGATTCTAACCTAGGAATTGAACAGGTGAAAAGGATCAAGACAAACAAAAATGCTCTGAACCCTGCTGGTTTTTCATGCCCTCTGAATCAAATTCAGATTGTTTACTTTATTATTTTGAAGCTGTCAATCTGTCTACCCAAGTCTGTGTCATTTCCCCTATCTACTAATGATTCCTCCCTGTCTACTTCATTCAAGCTAATCTCCTAGCTATGTCTTTTTCCAACTCCATGCTTTCTTTCTTTCTTTCTTTTTTTTTTTTTTTTGAGACAGAGTCTGGCTCTGTTTCCCAGGCTAGAGTGCCGTGGCATCAGCCTAGCTCACAGCAACATCCTCCTACCTCAGCCTCCCAAGTAGCTGGAACTACAGGCATGCGCTTCCATGCCCGGCTAATTTTTTTCTATATATTTTAGTTGTCCAGTTAATTTCTTTCTATTTGTAGTAGAGATGGGGGTCTCGCTCTTGCTCAGGCTGGTCTCGAACTCCTGAGCTCAAACGATCCGCCCGCCTTGGCCTCCCAGAGTGCTAGGATTACAGGCGAGAACCACCACTCCCGGCCATGCTTTCTTACATCATGCCCCTTTTGCCTCACAGGTCCTCCCTTTTTTACTGCCCATGTACCTCTTTCCTTATGTCCAAAACACACCAAAAATTCCAAGTCTTAGAAACTCTATCCTATTTATTGTAGTAGTTCAATTTTATACCTCAAATACCTGTCAACAGGGTGTTAAACATGGCAAAGTGGTTTAGAAGCCAAACATTTTCAAAAGATACTTGGCATTCTTATTTCTCAGAAGGCCCTGGGGTATGAAATAAATGCTTCCTGATAATGATGGGATATCCTGGTTCTGTACTGAGTTTGTTGTGCTAGCTCAGTAAATATTATGCCAGTGTATTGATACTCCTCCAATTCTCAATCTCCAGTTCAGTCTTTTTAATGATTGTTTCTATTCTTTATTTCCTTACATGTAAATCATATCTTTCTACCTCAGGTGGTAAATGATTGCACTAATTAAAATTATAAATCTCTCCAAAGCATGTTTGTTCCCCAAAGTTTGAGTTAACAGCTTCTTGGAGCTTGGTAACGCTTTTTGTCATTTTAATTACTTTTGGTATACACCCACGTACACATACGCAAAAAAATTTCTAAATTAAAACTCATGTGTGACTGTTTTTAAAGCAGGATCAACAACTTTGCTAGAGTATAATGTAAAAACCTCAGTATCAAATTCTGCTGTTTGATGCAGCGCTCCAGAAATTTGCTCAGCCTTTTGATAGAGAAACCTCAACTTTGGATTCAAGGACTGACGAAGCTCATTGGTTTCGAAAAATTGGTAAAAGACAATTCTGTGGCTATGGGAAACATTGTGGGGTGGTGGAATCAGACAGATGTGGGTTCAAATTCTGGTTCTTTCGTTTGTAGCTATGGGTACAGAGATGACTTGCTTAATCTCAGTTTCATTATTTATAAAATGGAAATAATTATGTATACTTCATACAGTTACTAAGGGTTTTTAATGAAACAGTGTATGTACCTGGCACATAGTAGGTACTCAATGAACATTAGTTTTTTTTCTTTTTCTATAGAAATGATTCTAAGATTAAAATGATGAATTATAACTGCAAGTTCCCGAGGTTATGCTCCTAAACTTGGTCTAAAATGACTAATTTATTTCTAACTGTAATTCAACAAAAATAAATTATGCAACAATATAGTTAAATCTTACAAACATAAAGTTGAGGAAAACAAGCCAGACATTGAAGAGTACATACTACATGATTCAATTTTTATGTAGTAAAAAAAAAACAAAAACAGACAAAACCATATATGGAGTTAGAAGTCAGGATAGTGGTTACCCTTGAAGGAGGTTTGGACTTTCAAGTGGGGGAACTTCTAGGTTTCTAGTAATAATCAAGATCTTCCTTGATCTGGGTGCTGGATACATGGATATGTTCACTTTGTGAAAATTCATCAAGCTGTGCAATTATGAGTTATGTAATGTACTTTATGTAGGTTCCAATTTGATAAAATGATTTAAAAATTGTGGAGGCAGTTACTACAGTGATAAGTAAGCAAGAGCAATTAAGCATCAATGTCACAAAGTAGACTCGTTCTACATGAACCTCTTCCTGCTTTATTGGTTTAGTGGGGCTTTAATCTAGAAGACAGGGAATAAATATGCAATCTGGCTTCTAAAGAACTTAAGCAAAAATTAAAAATAATGAACATTTAAAATATAGAATGGTTGGATGACTTTGATCTTTCCAAAGTTTGAAAAGGTATTTTCCTACTTTTACTGCATTTTTATTTTGATTTTCCAAGGCGAAGATCATACTTAATGTTGCCTAATGGTGGCTTCCACTCCTCTTTGGAAGATGTGAATCTTTCTAGCAATTTTCCTCAATCCTTGATTCTAATGTACCCTGTTCTCTGCTGAATTTTAACTTCCTTCACCACAGCCAGTTGGTGAGCTCCTTGGTGATCCTCATTTTTTAAATGGATTTGTGCCAACTAAGAATTCTTATCATATGTCTCCAATTTTTTAAAAATTCAGCAGCACCTCCATTGGTCATTGGTCTAGAATTGAAGATTAGAAGTGATAGGAGTCTCTAAATTTACCTGGAAAAATGCTCTCTACAAACCTAAAGTTAAGTTTTTAGCCCCTGAGAATCCCCTTATTAGTATATTAATATAAAAGATATAGGTAGTAGAGATTATAATGGTACAGACTAAATAGTAGATTTTCATAATTATATTATTTCATGTTAACTTTCAGCTTGGAACTTGGCTGTACAATCTGACAAAGACCCAGTGACAATGAGAGAGTTTTTCATACTTTCTTATAAGGTAAGTCTCTTCTAATAATTATGCCGTGTATGGACCACAAGGATATGACCACTATGACTATGGTAAAGGGATAAGTATAGACTGGGATTGGCTCTTAATCTAGGAACTTTTAATATATGTCTATGCAGGAATGATAGAGGAGACTTTGTTACCTATAGGGTATAATAAACACCCATGATGGAGCCTAAAGTTCTACCATTAGAGACTTATTCCTTTGCCTTTGAAGGAATTTCAGTCTCCCAGAATCCTATATTAAAATGTAAGTATCTTTGGGAGTGGAATACTCTAAGCAGTTGTCAATTACCAACACATTAGGGAGAGTTTGGGAAATAAGCCTGTAGTCAGAATATAGAATAAGTATCTGGGGACAGCAGGGGATAAAAAAGGAGATAAGAAGCTTGTGCCACCTTTAAAACTTTTCCTAGAGCAAGTTCTATGTGTAATGATTTGTAAGTTTGTTATTCAATTATAAGCATTTTTAAATAGTCACTAGCATCCAAGGTAGAGGTTAAATGCCAGAAAGAGGACCAAGTATTGATGGGTTAAAGAATATCCCTCATACACTTCAGGAGTACATAGTATGTTATGTTGAGGTCAATTAAATGTTAAGAATTTTAGAGCTGGAAGAAATGTAGAGATAATCTAGCACAACTCTCTCATCTCACAAAGGAGTAACCTAGACCTAAAGAGATTGGTTGTCTTGAAATGCTGTTAATTCAATGATGGTGATGATTATGATCACTACATGTTTGGAGAGGTCAAGAAATAGTCTTTGCAAGTTTAAGTGTAATTACCACTTTAATTAGGTGAAATAAATTAGTTTTAGTTTTGACATTTGTGATAACACTTTTAGGACTGGCATGTAAGAATCCAAGTGGCCTAGAGTTTTATTGTAGTAGTTGGGAGTTTTTGCTAAAACTAGAGGACAAGGTTAATGATGAGGTTATGCATAATGCCTGTCAAGATTTGTCTCTTTCACACAAATGTTGAAAGAAATGTCTCTTTCAACCATGACAATATATGTACTAATTTTGGCTCTATTCAGTACATAGGGGAAATCTATTTGCCAAGGGAAAAATCGCCTAGAAATTACAGCATAAACCAAGAAGTAAATCACTAGATAGAAATACAGGGGCAAATGATAGTATTTGTCACGGGCAAAGATAGGAAAACTATGAAGAAATGAAGCTTTTTATCTCTAGGAAGGTACTAAAAACAATGGGAAGTAATATAAAATTAAAACTGTAAATCAGTGTTATAGTCTATATCATTTCTGTGGCGACATGTGCTTTTCCAGCTGAATTTTCTCATTCAGACAGGATGTTGCTAATTTTCATTTTGATTGTTTGTGTTCACCTGGCAGAATTCTCACTATTCATTAATGTTCTGGTTATTTCTTATCAGCTGTCCCAGTTTTGTCCTTCTGATCAAGTAATTCTGATTGCACAGAAAACATGTTTACTTATGGCAGCTGCAGTTGATCTAGAGCAAGGGAGAAAAGCTTCAACAACGTTTGAACAGGTAATGTGCAACCTTCAAAGAAAAGACAAGAGTTAAATGCACTATTTGATATGTTTGCCTTCCCTGATGTAGTTCTTTTTGATTCTCTGTAGAGAATACTTTCTTCCATTCCAGCAGCATCTTGATTTCAAATGTTTGTAATGGCTAATTACTTCCTAAGGAAAGGTTACATTTGGCTTGACCTCTTCTTTTAAGAAGATGCAATATCTCTTCTTTTAAAATGCCCCTTTCTGTGGACCACTCTTTCCAAATATGTTTTTAAATGTTCTTTATCTTCATTGTCTCCCTGTGATTACATATGGTCCATTGGAGTGTTTCCCCTACTTGTGTTTCTTTGCACATGTCTTCTAAGGAAGAACTCATCTATTTCCAGAGCTTTGTAGCCATCTGAAATTATTTACTTAGCTTGTTTTTTTCACTCAATTGCATTTGCTTTCTTTGTCCCACATCCTTTAATATCTCATCATTAATTCAATTTCACCAAGACAGAATTCCTTACCTTGCCTGAATTCCCCTGTCATATTCTTAAACGTTACCCCTTTTAGGAGCTGGCAACATCACAGTCTCCCATACACCAGATTATTGGTTTGCCTTTAGCTCTTTACCTTCTTTCTTTTGAACTAAGAAAATTGTCTCCAAGTCAGATGAATAGCCTTTTTTTGTGTGACTTTTAAGATCTGGATCCTCTCCCTACTTGATTTCTCTTATTTGTACAAAGACAACTTCCTAATTTCCCATACTTGTCAGCTTCTCTTCTCTCCAATCCATGTAAAATCGTTCTATTTATTCTTCTCCTCCTGTTAATCTCTTCTTTTTTATTTTATTTATTTATTTCAGCATATTACGGGGGTACAAACACTTTGATTACATAAATTGCCTTTACACTGTCCGAGTCAGAGCTACAAGTGTGCCCATCCCCCAGACAGTGAATCTCTTCTTTTATATTATTCTTTAGATCTGAAACAAACTCTCACCAGATCTCTGCCAGTGTATTTCCCTTCCTTTCCCTTCCCTTGTTGAGTTCAGCTCAAGAAAACATTTCAGCACCCAAGCACTGTGCTAGGTACTGGGGATATAGAGATAAAGAAGACAAAGTCCTTGTTTATGAGAAGTAAAGGTGCCCTCTCTTAAGAAGTCTTTCCGTTTTAAAAGAAGATGAGAAAATAGCTACCTGTCCCAGAGCAAAACAAACAAGAAAACAATTCTGCTTCTTAACAGGTAAAAGTAAACGTAATTTAATTCTCAATAGGAACTTTTGCTTTACTAAAAAATAGTAATAAATCTTGTTTTTATATAATGCTTTTAACTTTCTAAAAATTCTTCCTTTTCAGTTTGTAGTCCTGAGTTAGTTAAATTTTTTTCTCTCAGTGAATAGAGATCAAATTGACATGAGGGAAATTTCATAAACTCTTAAGGGTAGTCCTTAATTATTTTCTTTGTTTCTAAAAAATGTTCTTTTTTATTCTATGTTCTTTCCCTTGTATACATCTATATTTCCTAAGAACTCTATAACTTAGTAACCCTTCTATAATCTTTGCTTTTGAAAGGATGTCTATTTAGATAACTGAAAATATACTTCTGACTTTCATCATCTAAGTGTGTTCCCTATGGATTAGACTGTGGTACTCTGTCTCTCTACAGTATACTTCTTGAATTCTATTATATATATCTGCTCCCTGTTCTGTAAATCCTCATAAATTGGGATATTTCCAAGTAAATAGGTGATGAAGGAATATAGATAGACTGCATGCTCCTATCAACATTGTCTCTATCCTTCTCAGTATGAATTAGGAGAAGCAAGGGATACTTTAAAAACATATAGTAATCGTAATTTGTCAAGGAGCTATATCTTTTGCCTAGAATAGGGCTGGGTAAACTACTGCCAACTGGCCAAATCAGGCCCATGGCTGTTTTTGTGCAGCCTGAGAGCTAAGAATAGTTTTTACATTTTTTGCATTTGTAAAAGGTTGTAATTAAAAATGAAAAATATATGAAAAAGAGTATATGTGACTGGCAAAGCCTAAAATATTTACTGTCTAGCCTTTTATAGAAAAATTGTCTTGATCCCTGTCCTAGATTATTTTTTAACAGACTTATTGAAGTATAATTCATACACCTTACAATTCACCCATTTAAATGTACAATTTAATGGTCTTTAAAATTTTCACAGAATTCTGCAACTATCAATGCAATCTAATTTTAGAACACTTTCATCGCCATAAAAAGAAACCCTTTACCCATTAGCAGTCACTCCTCGTCTCTACCACCAGCACTGGGCAACCACTAACCTATTTTCTGTCTCTATAGATTTGCCTATTCTGGGTATTTCATATAAATGTCATCATAAAATTTATAGTCTTTTCTTACTGGCTCCTTTTGTAAATCTTTAAATTATATTTTCAAGTTTCTTCATGTTTCTTCATGCGTCAGTATTTCATTCCTTTTTATGGCTGAATAATATTTTATTGTATGGATATACCACATTTTGTTTGTCCATTCATTCGTTGATGGGTATTTATGTTGTTTCCAATTTTCAGCTTTTATGAATAATGCTGTGATGAACATTCATGTACAAATTTTGTGTGGATTTTTTCATTTCTTTTGAGTATATACCTAGGAGTGAAATTGCTGAGTCATGTGGTAACTCTGTGTTTAATCATTTGAAGAACTGCCACAGTTTTCCAAAGTAGATGCACCATTTGACATTCCTACCAAAACTGGATGAGGGTTCCAATTTCTCTACTTCCTTATTACCACTTGTTATTAGGTTTTTTGGATTATAGCCATCCTAGTGAGTATAAAGTGATATCTCATTATGGTTTTGATTTGTATTTCCCTAATGACTAATGGAGTCTAGCATCTTTTCATGTGCTTATTGACCATTTGTATATCTTGTTTGGAAAATGTCTACTGAAATTTTTTGCTCATTTTTAATTAGGCTATTTGTTTTTTTACCATGAGTTGTAATAATCCTTTAGATATTTTTTATATTAGACTCATCAAACACATGATTTGCAATTATTTTATCCCATTCTGTGGGTTGTCTTTTCCCTTTCTTACTAGTACTCCTCGAAACACATTTTTAATTTTTTTTTGCAGTAATTAAAAGTGTATTTATTAGAGCTTTTAATAACATGGGGAAATATTTATAATATAAGTCAAGTAAAATAATTAGGATGCAAAATTCAATGTATTGTTTAGTCTTAACTGTATGTGTAAAAAGATAAATAATAGTGAAGTGAGAAATAATTTATTTAACAATTATCATACCATATATAGTTTTGTGTCATTTTTCTACCAATCTATATATGGTATGAGTCAGTTATGTAAAATGTTGAGGGAAAGGGAGAGATTACAAAAATCTAATTAGGGTTAGTTTTCCATTTTATTTATTTTGTTGTTGTGCTTTTGGTATCATATCTAAGACCATTTCCTAATCCAAAGTCATAAAAGTTTACCTCTATATTTTCTTCTAAAAGTCTTATATTTTTAGCTCTTACACTTAAGTCTATGATCCATTTTGAGTTAATTTTGTGTGTGGTGTGAAATAGGAGTCCAACTTTATTATTTTGCATTTGAATATCCATTTGTCCTAGGAATACTGTTGAAGACTATTTTTTCCCATTGAATTATCTTGGCTTCATTGTTGAAAATCAATTTACCATTAGGAGATTTATTCCTAGAATTTCAATTTGATTCCATTGATATCTATGCCTATCCTTATGGCAATACCATGTTGCTTTAATTTTTATAGTTTTGTAGTAAGTTTTGAAATAGGGAGGTGTTAGTCCTCTACCTTTGTTCTTATTTTTCTTTCTGTTTTTTTTTCTGAGACAGTCTTGCTCTGTTGCCCCAGGTAGAGTGCAGTGGCATCATTGTAGCTCACTGCAACCTCAAACTCCTGAGTTCAAGCAATCCTCTTTCCTCAGCCTCCTGAGTAGCTGGGACTACAGGCATGTGCCACCATGCCCGGTCTTATTTTTCTAGATTGTTTTGGCTATTCTGGGTCCCTTGAATTTCTATATTAACATTAGGATCAATTTATTGATTTCTGCACAAAAGCCAGCTGTGATTTTGAT